TCATAGGGGCTCACATTATGGTATTTTAATGAGCTTAATTACAATGTTCTCATCTGTAATTGATGTTCTTGAGATTATTGAAGCAGATGGATTTAGATCCGATCAAAGAGGTGAAGCAACTATTCTACTTGGGACAATACAATCCTTTAATTTTGTATTCAGTCTCCATTTGATGAAGGCAGTGTTGGAAATGACAAATGAATTATCAAAAGCACTACAAAGAAAAGATCAAGATATCGTGAATGCTATGTGTTTAGTCAAAGTACATAAGCAACGACTACAAATGATGAGGGATGATGGATGAGATTCTTTACTCGAAGAATTCTCTTCATTTTGTGAGAGACATGAGATTGATGTTCCCAACATGGATGACATTTTCTTTGCTCAAGGTTGACGTGTGAAAGAAATGATAAATTTGCATCACTATCGTGTTGAGTTGTTTTATTCTGTGATAGATATGCGACTTCAAGAGTTAAATAGTCATTTTAGTGAGACTAATACTGAGTTACTTCTTTGTATGTCATGTTTATGTCCAAATGATTCATTCTTTGTTTTTAACAAGCAAAAGATAATTTGTTTTGCTAAATATTATCCAAAAGGATTTTCTACAGTCTAGCTCAAAGAACTTCATAGTTAACTTGAGACTTATATTATTGATGTGCGCTTTAATAGTAGTTTTGAAGTATTGAAAGGGATTTATACTCTTGTAAAAAAAATGGTGGAGGCAAAAAAGGTCAAGGTGTATCCATTGATGTATTTGCTTGTGATAATGGCGTTGATCTTACCAGTTGCGACTGCCACGGTGGAAAGGGCATTTTTTGCTATGAATATTGTAAAGAATGAATTGCATAATCGGATCGGAGATCAATGTATGAATGATAGCTTGGTTGCATTTGTTGAAAAAAATATATTTAGGAGCATAGATAATAAGGCTATCATGCAGCGTTTTCAAAAAATGAAATCTCGTCGAGGACAGTTTTAATGTATTCAATGAAAATATTATAAAAATCTATATTTTGGTTCTTATATTTGTGGAGTAAACTTCTATATTTTGGCTTTTATATTTGTTATGTATTGTAACTTTATTCTTTTCAGTTGAATAATGAATTCTTTTATTTAAAATTTTATTCACATTACTGAAAAACATATAAAATCTTGTTTACTTTGGTTGTCAGGATTCACGAAGTGCTTGGAGATGGAGTAATTTGGCATGGCTCAAAATTCAATTGGTATCTCAGCAAACATAGATAATTCTTTGTTCTATTTTAATTAAATCATTATTGATATTAAATTATATCAAGAATATTATGCTCTTACTTGAGAATTTTGTGATTTTGCTATGGTTTTTTATTTATCATTTATTATTATTATTATTTTTTTGCCTTTTCATGTGAAAAGAATTATATTTTTCATGTTAGTTGATTTTTTAATTTTTATTTATTTATTTTAGTCAAATACATTACGAGCTAAAATAAAATCCTGGCTAGACCTGGTAGCATTGCTCATATTCTTTTAAAAAATTGATCCTATTCCACTAGATATACTGTAATATAATGAGCAAGAGATTATTTAAGAGTTTGAAAGGTGATTCTTGAATAGAGTTACAATTCGTCAAAAACTAAATTTAAAAAATAGTTACTGACTTTTGAAAACTAATAGTCACACCTATTAATCTAAAAGCATATTCTATTTATTTTTTATAAGAAATTAAGCGTATTCTAGCAAAGGGTTCAACGGAATATAATGTCTTCGATAATAATCACACTTATTAATCTAAAAGTCATATTTCAACAGAATATCCTTAATTTATGAAAGAAATAAATAGAATATGCTCAAGGGTTTCATCATCCTCACTATTAAAACGACAAGTTATATCGACATCCATACCCCTCTGCTGGAGATTTGCTGTAATGCTCCGAAATTATAGAAAATAATAATAAAATAAAATAATAATGATATTTGAGCAATAAAAAAACAAGTAAGCCACATATTAAAGTTAACTACTATAAGACACAGTTGTATATTATATTATATAAACATGTTTTTATTCCTTCCTGATTTTGGTAACTCCAACTCTTGTCTAGAATTCCTGTAATCCTACATTCAAATACTTCAAACTAAATTTAAGATTATGTATTGTTTTATAAAACTGAAAATTAAGTAGTGAAAATTTTAAGAGTTAAATTTTGGGTGTAAGTAGTAATTAAAAAATAAATATGTTTTTTATTTATTTATTTTTACAGTGGTGATAACCGATTTCTTATTATTTAGAATTATAATTCATTTTTAATGATAGAGTTATTGTTAATACTGAAATTGCGTTTTCGCCATGAATTAAGTTATCAGAACAATAACATTTAGGGACAGTTTGGTACGTGTTTTGTTTTTGTATTTTTGTTTTAACCTGAAACAAAACAAATATTCTATTGTTTTGAATAGTAATCGGAAACATATTTTATAACGTCCATTTGTTACAAGTTTTTTAGAAGCAAAACATAAAAACATGTTTAGTAAAAAAAGTGTTACAAGTTTAAAAAATATACTGGTTAGTTTAGAATTGTCATTTTAAGATTATTATTATTTTTTTTTAGTGTCCAACTACATCTCGTTATTACATTGCAAAAATATGTATAATAGCAAATTGGTATTTTGACTTTTAACCACTATTTACAAAATATTTTGGCATTGCAAAAAACAAAACTTGTTTTTTATCAAATACATTTTTTTTTTAAAACATACTGCTACAAAACCCTTGGCCTAAAACAAAATGCTACCAAAACAAAACGTGTAGCAAACAGCCCCTTAATTAATAAGCCACATTGGCCAAATCTGGCCCAGCAGTTAAAATCCGTTTGGCACGAAATATATATAAAATGAGAGCACAATCACAATGTAGATGTTTGCCAGGAAAAAAAAAAAAAAAATTCACAATGTAGATGATGCAGTGAATTAAGGTTTTGAGTCGTTCACATCAAGGTTATGTTCAAATGACCGATCAATCTTGTTGTATGTCCAGAACAATATTGTGCACTTTCGATGCGAACGAAAATGCACCACCTCGATATCTCCGAAACACCAAAAACTTCATATAAAAGAAGCAAATATTTATATATATTCTTCATTTAACTTTCACTCTGCATAGCTCATCCCATCCCAGGCACACCACACCCCAACTCAATACCTCTTCTCCATCACTCAATTTTCCAGGAAAAAGAGCTAGGTACTCTCTCTCTCTCTCTATATGTATATGTACATTTATACTAAATACCCTTTTAAATTAATATAATTAAAAGACTCTGTTTGTTGCATCTTGTGGTCATGACCCAATCTCTGAGAAATTCTTACGTACCATGACTACTTCAATATTGCTTACATGGTTATATATATATATACAATTTTAATATAATTTGGAGTTACTAATGTAAGATCTGAAATTTGAAATTTTCCTTTAATTACCTGGCAATTAAACGTAGTGAAGGTTTTTATGTTACAATGATGCGGTGGATCATTTTTATCTTTCAAATACAACCATGATGCCCCTTAATATTTTCATTAAAAAAAAAAAAATCAAAATTAATAAAACAGTGATTCTCATTTCTTGATCTGCGAATTCATTATATATATATATATATATATATATATATATATATATATATTGTTTTTAATCAAGATTAATGCAGTGGCCGAAAGGGACTCTACCCTCTTTTCTGCATTATTACAAATAGTGGTTGCAAGGTGTAGGTGTCCAAAATATCTTAGCTCACACGGCACAGATAGCTTGGTCCAACCGTTAAAGAACTACGCCACATCATCAACAATAACCACATAGCTTGGTCAAATAGTCAACAGACTATGCCACATCATCAACGATGGCCCATAAATCAAACGGTCAATGGTCAAAGATACGTGCAATTTACCACCTTATCAGAATACCTCGAGTAGAAGATCGAAGACTTAAAGACCTAAGTTGGGAGCCGGACTCAAGATTACCTGGGATCCGAGAGGTACTTAGTTTGGTGGCTGAAGTCCAAGGCTCGTCGAATTAACCCTCGACCTAACTTGTAGAGAGAGAAATACTATTTTGACTCCTGAAATTATTAACCTCATTTTAATTAATATAACTTTATAATTATTTGAGATATTTCTCTCTTTTAATTATTATATTAATTAATTCATATGTGATGTCATCCAATGATAACATCCAACCTCTCACCGGGCCTATATAAGGAAGTGTTCCAAGGCCAAGAGGAATAGAGCAAACTGGGAAGAAAACACTTCCTAGACATTGAGAGCTCTAAGCCTCTCTCTCATAGGTTGTCTTCACAACCCTTAAACATTTACCAAGGGAGTCAATGGTGTTTAATACACTGCCATCCTCTTTCTCTCTCTCTCTCTCAAGTTTGCTTGGGCTTCCACCTCTCTCAATCCACCTCGGATTCTATTACGTTGTCTGAATTATTCAGATTTGTGTATGATATCACTATTTATATGTATTTTATTGTGTTACGAAAACGAACCCATACACAAGGCTTCCATAAAGGTATGAGTTCCAAACACCAAATTGAACATGGAATTTGAGGCTACAAAGGGACACCATAAGTTCATACCATATGCCTCCAAAACACTTGTACATCTTGTGTGCTTTTTTGCTTCAATTTTTATATATCACCGTATATTTTGCTGCAATACGATTATACGAGGACTTATAGGCCTTTCCAAGCCCTTGTGCAACAACATAGGGTTGTTTTACATGATACAATGGCCGAGAATTCTTTAGGAGAAATCTCACTCTTCCATTTCGTTTATCGTTAATGTGCCCTGCAAAAAATTTCTAGTTAGTCTGCTGTGTTTGAAGCCTTTGTAAATTTCCATTTTCTTAAACATGCTAATCTTTGAAACCCAATAAATGTGATTTGCAGGGCTTGCAGACTGCCACCGGAATTTGTATGATACAAACGGTTTTGTTGGTCCACATTTTGGATATTTTCTGAGAGGGAAGTATGGGAGAGATCGATACAAAATCAATTGAGTCGGTCCAAGCTGCATTGTCCTTCTTTGGTGAGAAAAATGATCCGACGAAAAACCTGTCAACTGGCAGCAATGTATGTTGGTAACTGATAGCATTTTAAATTTAGATTACAACTTCAATGCCTTAGCTTCAAATCCGAATTACTAAACCATGACAGTCTGGTACTATTTATCTAGGTTAACTTTTATTGGACTAAAAGGTCTAAAATTCATATCCACTGAACTTTAGCTGTATTCATTTTAATCCTATATTATGAGTGTATGCCAATTACGAGTGTCCTTTGGCAACTTTTAAGGTTTTCGAATTTGCAATTGACTATACATGGGAGTGACCTTCTAAAGCAGAAGGTTGAGAGTTCAACTTCCCGTAGGGACAAGTGTGTGTGTGTGTATTTCTTGCCGATGAAAAAAAAAGGACTATACATTGGAGTTATTCATAGTTTTAGCACATGAAGCAAATCTATGGTTCTTATGGTATAGATAGATATAGTCTAATAATGTGCCATCTTAGCTTAAAAGCCAATTTAACAGTCCTCAATTGTCGTGTTTTACCCGTGTCTTGTGTCTATATCCGTGCTTCTTAGATGCACAGTATGACCTGTTGGCTGATTCATAAGTGAGGACTGTTATCTGACGGCCTCAGGGAGGACTTTCCATTTGATAACTTTGTACCTAAATTTCTTATATTTTTCTTCACCAACAGGAAATGGAGAAAGAGAGAGAGCTTGAAGTCCTACTAAAGGACTTGGCCATTAACAAGGTTCAGTTGGAAGCAAAGGACACTGCCTACAAGCAAGCCCTTCTTCAACTAGATCACTATCAGACAGCTAGTGATGAATTTTTCACCCTCCTGAAGAATTCCAAGTTCGAGAAAGATATATACATCAATGAATGTAGAGTAGCTAGAATGAAAAAAGATGAACTTGAATTCAAGATGGGGGAGATGGCCAGTCAACTGTCGGAAACTCTCAAGGTCCGTGAGCAGCTTTCGAATGTCATTAGTGAGTTGAGGGCTACACAAGGGGAGCTCCTTAATGTGGAAACAGAACTCGCTACTGCTATAGAATTGAAGCTCGAGGCTATGATGCAAACGGAGTTGATGGAGACTGAATTAGACACGGAAAAGTTGAAGATGGAAGAGCTTCTAAGGCATGTATCGGAGCTCAATGAAACCATTCTTCATTTGAAGATGGCTGCAACTGAAGCAGAGGAAGAGAAGTGTCGAGTTTTATCAGAGAAAGAGGCTGAGTTAGAGTATACTACAGCATCTGTAGTTGATGCACAAAAGCAACTAGAAAATATGAGAAAACAATTGGAAGTGATGCATGATTTAGAGAGTCAGCTCATGGCTAAGTCGGTATTTATTGATTCAATGCAGTTGCAAATTCAGCAAGTGAATGAGCTACAAAGTTCATCTGAGAGAACGGTTACTGATGCCATTAAGGATTTAAACCAGCTAGCATTGGATTTGGAAATGCAGGAAAAGAAGAACTCAAACCAAGCAGTTTATATCAAATCATTGGAGATGGAGCTGAATCAGTTGAAATTAGAACTCGAGAATGCAAATGAAGAGGTGAGCCGCCTGAACTGCAGTGTTGAGATGACTACAGATGAGTTAGAGAAGGTGAAAAATGAGGTGGAGGAGATTAAAGGAAGTGAAACTGAAGCACAGATAGAGATAGCAATGCTGAAATCGGAGCTTCATAGAGGGAGATCAAAGATTGCAGCAGCAGAGGTAGCTGAGGCAAGAGCAAAGAGTGAAAAGTCAGGCCTCTATCTAGCAGTTCAGCAGCTAGCCATGGAAGCCGAAGCAGCCAAGAAAGAGAAACGAGAGCTAATGGAAGAAACACAAAAAGCGGCTGAAGAAAGTGAAAACTACCTTCATGACGGACAACTTCCACAAATCAATGAGATACAGACAGAAGATGAAAATAGAAGAGATGACACCAATACCCTTGTCACAATTTCTATGGAGGAATATGAGGCTTTGATGAAGATGGCTGAGAAAGCAAATCAAGTTCCAGAGCCAGTGCTGGATAATAGTTATGAAGTGGAAATCTTGATGAGAGAGTTGGAAACAGCAAAAGTGAGAATCGGGGAGTTGAGGGTACGAGCAGAGCAGGCCATAAGCAGGGCTGAAGCGGCTGAGAAGGGTAAAGCTGCACTTGAGGATCAGCTGAAGAAGTGGCGAGAGAGAAGGGAACGAAGAAAGGCCGCTATAGCTGCGCTTCAGGAGGAATGTATTCTGAGAGAAAGCAGTAGTTTCAAATATGAACCATTGGTTCCTGTTCCTAAAACATATCAACCATTGGGTAAGGTTCTCAACATGGAATTCTAGTCAATCAGAAATCATGTTAACAGCATAAACCAGCTCTTTAGCACTCCTTTTCCTATCACATCTACTTGTCACTTGTCGCTATGGAGCTTTCATTGCACCATATTGAGGTCTACAAGTTCTCCCACCGCAGTTTTGTGACAGAAAAGGAGAAGAAAGTATTGCATAGTTGTTTCCATGAGATCAAATGTCCAATCATACATTCTGGAAGATTGCTTATTATGTGATTGAGGTCAAGAACTTGTTATTTTATATCTAATTATGTCAAATATAGATGCATATACACATTGAGAAATTGAAGGTGTTTTTTCCATAGGCCTCAAGATATGAAATTCAGATTTCTCTGTAAATGCTGTCTAGAATGGGCATGCAGTTGTTTCAGTTTGGCATATATAAGGATTACTTTACCATGTATGGATCTTATATTCAATTCTCCCTTTTAGTAGTTTTTTTTTTGGGTTAAGAAGTATAATTTTCATTTGTGTGGGCATCAGATGCACATAATGGGAGATATTGTTGACATGAAAACAAAGCCAAGACTTGGACACCATACGTTAGACTTTGGGTTTGGACCCAAACCGTGGAGCCCATGGGTGAGCCCGACCCAGTTAGGAAAAATGTAGACTATATCGGGGATATCTCATCTAAATGTTTCTTCTTTTTTTCCTCGAGAGCCATTCCTCTACCCAGAGCTTTTCATGTCTGATATTGGCTTGGCGACGAATAAACAATATAAATATAAGATATTTTCGACACTTATGACAAACACAAAAAGAAAAAAAAAAAATCCACACCGAAATTCTTTTTCTTTGTCAATTATTTCTGGAGAGCAAGAAAGGTTTTTGGACTGTGGATTTAAGGATTACGCTCATTTTCATAGTGTAATTCCACCACGAGATTGATTGAGGCTGTGTTGGCTCGTGAAGCATCCGCTGGTTCGTTTCCGAATTGGGTAAAGCGACTTTGAGGTAACTCGAATACGCTTTCGCACTCAGAAATTTTTTTTACCCATAAACGCTATACCAAATCCTATTGTTCCGTGAGATTAATCGGGTTACAATGATCAATCAAAATACCAAACTCCTAATTAACACCAACGGGTCTAATAGAGCCTTAACAAGCAAATGATTGGTCAAGAAGTGTGACTGGGCAAGTATTGCAAATAATCAGAAGCAAACTGAAGTAGCAGGAGTTTTGCCTGGAAGCAAATTCTTAAGACGCACACATCAAGGCTTAACAATAGAGTCAATATTTGGATGGCCGAGGAAAAATCAATGGCTATAACAGATTAAATCATGCAATTACCAATAACAAAGGCAACCAGACTATACAACTTCCAAGTTTAACTTTGAGTTGAAAATCATATAGTTTTCATAAAGAAAATAACAAAGCCTTTATAGGTTCAATCTACAATTTTCATAATCAAATCATACATGCTTTTAACAGAGATTAACCTACTGATTTCGATTCTAAAGAGCTGAAAAGCTTGTAAGTTTCGGAGGGGAAGTGAAGAAAACAACTTGCCTTAGAAATTGTAGCAATACGTAGTCGCAAACCTCTCCGGATTCCCTTCCACAATTCGGCAGGCTAGGGATTTCAGTCCTAGCCCTCTCTCTCAAATGTTATGTTTAGAGTAACCACATCGGGCTCGCGAAAGCCCAATTTCCATTGGACTAAACACTGCACAGCGGCCTAGCTAAATGGATTGGCGCGGTCTGCGATCGATGCAAAATATATTTTTTGTTTTTTTCTAACGGCCATGCACAGTACTGAACATTGCCTTAAGGCATTGTTTGGCAGATTTTTTTTTTTTTTTGAAAAGACCTAAAAATAGGTTATTTAGAGCTCTTTTTTTTTGGGAATAAAATAAAATAAAATTTACTAAATAAAAAATATATTGTTTAGGCATTGTTTGTCCAAAAAAAAAAAAAAAAAATTATTTTGGCCGTTAAGACATTGTTTGGCTGATACAAACAGTGCCTTAACGGCTATAATTTTAAAAAAAAAAGTTTAAAAATTCAATTTTTTTTTTTTTTTTAACTTTATGCAAAAAAAAAAAAAATTATAATTAAAAATTTTAAAATTCTCTATAAAATTTCTCAATCTTATTTCTTCTTGTATTTTCTCAATTTTAGCTATTATTTTCAAAGTCATTTCGATTCCATGAATCCTCAACATCCATTTTATTACAACATCCAATTCAACCCATCAAATGATGAGTTTTTGCCATTTCCCAAAGATAATATCAATTTTTATGGAGGAAATTCTCAATTTCCTTCTAATCAACCATCCCAACCTTCTTATCAACCATCCCAAACTTCTCATCATGATTGTGGTACTAGTGTTCCACAATCAAGTAACTTAAAACTCCTGCCAAAACAACCGGCTATCCGACCTACTAATTGGACAAAGGCTGAAGATGAGGCTTTATTTTGGGCGTGGATGTCCATTACCTCTGATGCGATTACGGGGGCAGACCAAAGTAAGAAGAAGTTATGGGAGCGAACTCTGGAATAATATAAACAACATATTGGTGTTCTAACTGAGCGAAATGATGGAGGTTTGATGAATCATTGGTCGGTGATCTAACAAAAAATTAGCAAATTTTCCGACTGCATGACTACCATGGAAATGAATCGTCATAGTGGCTTCAACAATGATGATATGGTGAGTTATTTATTGTTTAAATATAACTCGTAAATATTTTAAATAGTCGGTTTTTATTTTTTTTTTTAATTTTTTTGTGTAAATGATAGATGCTAAAGACCTGTTTCGTAGCCAAACAGGTGGTGAATTTAAGTTAGAAAGTTTCTGGGAGATCTTGAAACATAACAATAAATGGCATTCACATTGTGCTGAACAAGTAGGAAAAGGAAAAAAGAAAAAAGAGCCGAAGAAGAGGAGTAGATTTGACTTTGACATTAATGAGTCTGTTGGGCACTCATTACCATCTACTCCGTCAAGTCATGCAACCACGACAGATGGAGCTTCAACTAAAGAATCACACACATAGGGGAAAATGATTCACCAGGTGTGAAATAATATCAACTACAAAGACGAAGAAAAGCAGCGAAGCAGTGTCGAGCAAAAATTAATTCAGCGAATGAATTGCAAACTTCATTCCTTTCGAAATTTAATAATATCACCAGCCATTTTGAGAGTCGTTAGGAGAAAATGCAGGATGCCTAAGTGGCACGAGAGGTAAGAAAAATAGAGAAAGAGAAGACAAGGCAGCTAGAGATTCTAGAGAAACACTGACTTGAAAAGAAGGAACTCATGTTAATAGATCCAAATTCGACACCAACAGAAGTGGGGAAAGCTTGGATTATTGCACGACAAAATGAGATATTAGCATATTTGAATTCACGGTCTGCCCCAAAGTTCCCATAGGATTTTGTAATCCTTGGTCTATTTATTTTCTTATTCCAATTTTTGATATTGTATTGTTTAAGTTATTTTTAATTTTTTTTTTAATTTGTTTTTCTTAATCCATAATGGATAATGTATTGTTTCAAGTTCTAATATCAATCGTAGTTTATTTTTATTTTTATTTTTATTTTTATTTTTTATTTTTAATAATTTGCAAAAATATTATTTGATTGAAAATATTGCCATTGAGAAAATATAGCCTATACAAATATAGCCGTTAAAAATATAACCGTTACAAATATAGCCGTTTAGGAAAAGTAAAAATAATAATAATAATAATAATAATTTATTATTATTATTTTTTTTGGAGAGCGAAAATTCGGAGAGTCTGATGTAGTACATGTTTCTGGAGAGCAAAAACTACTGACGTGGCTCTTGGAATTGCTGATGTGGTTATTGGAAAAGCTGATGTGGCGTTTTTAGATAGCCAAAATCCGGAGAGGCTGGTGCAGATGGCCTACCCTAATTGCTATACTAGAGTTATAAAATATTGCATAGAACACAGTCTTAAATAAAATATAAGCTAAATTGTAGTATAGAACTCAGGCCTAATTAAAAGAAGCCCAATTCGAAAATCCATCCATGACCCGCATTTAATCCAACCCAATAAACCAAAACAAAATAATCATAAAGTAATAGCAAAAACACAAAATACATATAATAGTTAATAATTAATTAATTTAACCCAAATAAACTAAATAAATTCCTATTTAATAAATCATTTAAAAATACGGGGTATTACCTGATCAATGATAACCATTGTGTCTATGCCAAATGATCCAAGGCTGGTTTCCTCATATTGTTATTGTATGTCGATGGCATTTTGTTGGCTAGAAATGATAATAAGTTGATTGTCGCCACTAAAGGGTTTTTGTCCTCTATCTTTGAGATGAGTGACATAGGTGAGGCAAGCTATGTGCTCGGAGTTAAGATCCTTAGGGATCATTCTAAGAAATTTCTTGGCTTGTCTTAAGAGACTTACATTATGAAGATTTTATAACGATTCTAAATGCAAAGTTGCAAGCCTATAGACATTCTTATCACTAAAGGTGAAAGCTTGAGCCTTGAGATGGGTCCTAAAACTCCTGAAGAGAAAGAATAGATGGCCCGTGTCCCCTATTCGATCGAGTGTTGTTGGTAGCTTGATGTATGTCATATGTTATACAGTTGGCTTTGTCAGTCGATATTAGTCTAATCTAGTATTTATTCGTTGGAAGGCAGTCAAGAGGTGTGATACCCCCTAAATTTCTACTTGTAGGTTGGCCAGGCCGACACCCGAGAACTGGGGGATATCAAAACAATTAAGTATTTAAACAAGCACATAGTACAAAATAAATGACTAAGAATACACAAAATGCTGAATGGATATCTAATAAGTAATAACTCCATCATTAAATCTTCTAATTAAAATCTACAATAGAATGTATCTTCCAAAATTATAACTTGGGAATTCCATAAGTCAAGGACACCTAAACCAAAAATCCAATATCCGATAATCCATAAAGAAATAATGCTAAAGTCTAATAATAAAATAGTGTCCTACTTTGAAGTAAACAAGAAAGTAGATGATTGATAAGTCCCCAAGC